TGTCGTCGGCGAGGCTCTCGCCGCCCCCCAGCAGCTCCAACGCCTGGGGCGTCCGCGTGTGGTGGAATCCCCAGTCGTCTATGGGCCTGCAGTTCGGGCCCGTCTGGAAGGCCTCAAAGAGAACATCCAGATCCACAAATTCGACCCCTGTTTAGAGGAAGCCCTCCATGACCATCGGCGGCGCTTTCGTTTGGCGCGGGCGGAAAAGCGTGTTCCCCCTGTCAAGGGCAAACGGTTTTGTGTGCCCGGGCAGCAGTTCATGTGCGTATCGCACAATGCAGGCTTGGTCTTTGCGGAACAAACATTGGGCATTTACGTGTATTTACGCATAAAAATAGTATTTATGTTTTTATACATAAGTACTCAAAAAAAATACGTGAATTTTGATCCGATGCACATAAAGACAGTGCGCATAGACTCAAGGAGTCGGGGAAGCGGCAGACAGATGCGGTGGAGTGGGCACAAAGCGACTTTCTGCTGGGCGCCGTCTTTGCCCTTGCCGAGGCGAGGTGGTTGCTGTGTTGCGGGTGCTCGAGGGGGCGGAGGACTGGTCGTTGTACGCAAATTCATCTTGTGCCGCGTGTGTCCCAACGAGCCGTAAATATAGCCGTAAAATAGCTCCTTTTGCATTTTTGCTTTTTTGCGCGTGAAAACGTGAACGTGAGAAACGTAAACGTAAAAACGTGAACACAAGCGTAAAGTTCAAGCCAGGCACAATGCGTTTGGGGGACCATGGGCAAACTCCCCGGGACGCCGAAGTACAATGCTAGCTGGGACCTAGTGGGCCGCGCCCTTTGAAGGATATGTGGAACAGGGAGGGGGCCCCTCCAGATGAACAACAAGCCTGGCAAAGAGATTTGGTGACCGGACTCAAGATCAGCCGCAAAGAAGCCAGAATCTTCCCAGCCACAGTGCAGCGAATTTGCTGTACTTTAAAGAGCTCCTCGGAGGGACATACACGTGGGATTCTGGGCCGTTCTTGCACCGCATTTTTAACCATTTTTGCGCCATTTCTTCACAAACCTCAACTGAACATGTGCGAAATGGCTAACTGCGCCGGACTGGCGTAACACGCGTACTGCAGGGGAAAAGTTGGCACCGCAAGCGGCACCATCGCAATTGCCAAAATGCTGTTTTCCACGGGGGATCTAGCACCAAGCCTGCAACAACAGGCGCCCGCTCCTCACCTCCCTGCCCCTCCATCCCCTTGAGCTTCATCCACAGCTCCGCCGCCCTGCCGGCGTCCCCAACCTCCAGCACCGCGATGCCGGACTGCACTCCGTACCACGCAATCTCCATCTCGGCCGTCAGGTTGTTGCCCGTCAGGAAGTCCTCCATGGCGTCCTTCCCCATGCGCTTCACCATCTCGACGTCCCTCAACGCCTCTGCCCGTGCCACGGTCCTCCGGTACGCCAGCCCAGCCCCCGGGCTCCCAGAGGCGTTGGCAGTGGTCGTCAGGGACGTCGCGACGGATGCCCTTTGCGCCGATTCAGCGGCATCGCTCTCCGTGAATGGGTCGAAGAAGCCTGAGGAGCCGGCCATGGTTTTGGTGGGGTTATCCATCAGCCGCAGAAGCAGCTTGTGCTGGTTGACCTTGCCCCGCTTCAGCAGCTCCAGCTGCGCTACGGAGACGTCGTCGAGGTCGGATTCATCGATGTCGACCGCGACCTGCGTCGCAGGCGATTGTGCGCGTCAGAGCGTTGGGGACGTCGTGTCGATCTGGGGCCGCCGCCGGTGAAAATGGCCAAGTGCCGGGAGCACGCGGGGGGTGGCTATGGGCAGAAGCTTGTAATGGAGGCATCTGACAGTGGGACGCTTGGCTAGTGGTTTCGGGCCGTCGAGAGGGGAACGTCGTCGGACACGCTCGATCGCTGGTGAAAGCCGAGGGTCCGTCGGCAGGTGTCGGGTGCCTGATGCGAAGCTCTCAGCCCTGGATTGGGCGCCGCTCTACTCGTCACTTGGGGTTTAGGCATCGCCGCGGTGGTCGTGGCGGCACAGGGCGCGAGACAGGGCCACGGAGGGGCGGGCTTGTTTCTTTACCCGCTGGCAAAGTCGTTCCCGGCGCCCGTACGGCGCGCGTTGGGCGCGGGGATGAGGGCAGGGCGCGCGCGAAGAGGAAGCGAGGGGAGGCGCCTGGCGCAGGACCCCGCCTGCAATCTGACGCGGGCACCCGTCGAAGCAGATCCATCCATCATAAGGCGCAGTTCGTCCTCGCAGGAAGAACGCCTGTTTGGGCTCATTGCACGGCGGCTCAGCGCCCAACCGCGACGAAACGGCGAGCACCGAGCGCCGAGGCCCGAGTTCCACCGCGGGGCTCTCCGACCGCCCTCGGCGCTTTGTCGTCGAGAACGACGACCGGAAACCGCTTCCGATCCGCGGATGGCGCCGCCGACAGGGCCCCTCACCTCGGCAGCCGACAGACGGGCGGCCGCCAGGGCCAGGGCACCCAGCGCGAGCCACGCGGCGGTGCGCATCGCGCCCTGAGGCGCTGTCCGTGCCGCAGGGCGCGCGCCTCCCCGAGGGGGCGACCGACTCCCCCACGCCTGGCCGCCGCTTTGCGCGGCCCGATTTGTTTGGACCTCCGGCGCAGCGGCAAGGGTTGCGCGGCGGTTCCGAGCCCCGGTAGGGACGCGGGCGCCCGCGTGGAGGCTGGGGTGAAGGGCCGGGAGGCAGGGGCCCGTTCCCGCGCGGTGCGCGGTGCGTCGAATTTCAGCGGCAGGACCCAGGGCGGTGGCGCCGGCCACACAGGGTGCGCAATGTACAAAAGGAAGCAAGCAGCGGAGAAGTACTGGGAGGGATTGGAGACTTGGGGTGCTTGCATTCACGCCGCTATGGAGTCCGGCATCCGCAATGCGCTGCCACTACTCTTCGCTGTGCGCACCTATTGGAGGCGGTGTGGGCGGATGTGGAGCGCCGTGCGTGTGTAACGCGACATCTATTTGTCAGTCAGGAAGCGTTTCTGCCAGTTGGTCAGGGGCATCAGAACTGTTTTTGCACCGACTGACACTGGCTCGATCGGCTTCGACGCACACCATCCCAGGCAATGTAGCGAATGAGAAAATATCTCAGCTTCTTGAGGTGAGTTGCAAAGCCCTTGCTGCCCTTTCAGAAGTTGCCAATCAGGCGAAATCAGCAGCAAGGACTTCGTCGAGAGACCGGCCGGGACAGTGACAATTTGGCAATAGACATTCTGGCAGAAGAATTGTGGGAAGCCATATTGGCGGCCACATTTGCTGGGGCCGCAAAAGGGCGACCACCCGCGTTTGTCACAGTCCCCTGACGGGCACATGGCTAACCGGGGACTGGCCATGGCGCAAAGTTTTTGGGCGTGATGCGAGGCAGCTGGGTGCCTTCTGCAAGGATTCCAGTTGGAATCCACCCAAGGTCGTGTGTCCACAACGCCGCCTGTCCGCTCCAACGCTTCCACAGCCGCCAGAGCGCCCCCTTGGCGACGCCTTGGCCCAGCCACAAGTTCGCAACTGGTTTCGCCGCCGGACGCCACATGGCTTGAGGGGGATGGGCACACTACACAACAGGCGTGACAAAATTCAATCGGTCGGCCACTTGTAGAGCTCACTGCAAGCGCCTTTCAGGATGCAAACTTTGGCAAGGATTGCCGAACCAAGCCCGCGAAGATCTGGCGCGTTTTGGCACAAGCATTCGCAGCCAATTCGCAGCCAAATGGAACATTCTCGCCAGGAGATGGAACGACCAGCGCAACTAGCCAAGCGCAGGCCGTGAAGCCCATGTTTTAAGCGGAGGAGCTCAGAGCGCCCTCGCATGAGCAGGCACTCGCTTGCCCCCATGACCTAAACAGTACACGCTCAAGAACAATGGATGCCATTCCGCTCAGTCGAGCGGGTAAGCCTAGCAGATCTTGATTCGAGGCGCCACGAAATGGCTGCTACGCCGCTCCCCTCCAAGAGAAGTGCGGTTCCTTGCCCTGCGTGCCGTTGCCGATCGGGGCTCCAGGCGGCCAAGTTCTCACCGTATCGCTGCAGTCAACAATATCACGAATTGACGTGACGGCCCTTTTCATCAGTTCTGCAGTTTTCGATTCTTTTGCCAGAATGTCTTCTGCCAAATTGTCACTGACGCAGACCGGCCCAACGTTGTTTGATGGAGTGCATGTTTGGTTTGTCTATGGAATGCTACCCGTTCCCTCTTCTTCAGCACTTCTTTGGCTTGGAACTGGTCCAGGCGGCGGGGCCAAGAGGCGGTTCTCGTGCCCAGAATGAGAACGTCCGCGGCCCTCCACCTGCGGGGGGGCCCAGCAGACCTGGCAACAGTCGATGGCAAAAACTTGCCATTGCCGGGAGGCAGGAGCAGGGCACTTGGTCGGCGAGGCAAATGTCGCTCTGCACACAACCTGGCCTGATGCACTGCTGGCTGCGCGAGCCCATTTACAGGCAGCACATCAGTCCCATCGTTGGACAGAGTAGCGCCCGCGGGCGCGCAGTGCCCTTGGTCCACCCGCCCGAACTACCACACAGCCGCAGGGCACCACACCGAGTCTACACCACCCTGCCAGCGTGCATCACCGCGCCTCCATCCAAGAAAAGGCCCAACGGCTCACTCTACCTGAAGCTAGACTCGGTGGCTTGAATCTGAGCGACATACCGGCATCAAGCCGTGTTATTTGATGCTGTGTCCGGTGCCATAGGTCTTGAGCTATTAAGTGGGCTGTGTTCCACAAGGCTTGCAGAACACGGCCAGCAAGCCGAGTCGGCCACGGCACTTGCCAGTCGAATGGAGAAGGGTTTCCAAAGGAAGCACCAACGTCTCAAAGTCGATTACAAGGAAACGTGTTTTCGTAAGCATTCATAAGCAATTCGGTGGGGCTTGGAGCGTCGCAACGAGGTCCTCACGAACTCCGCCACTTCGATACTTCCCCAGAGGTCACAAAGAAAGAAAGAATCCGCGCCCGTCCGAAAAATGGCTAAAGCCGCATTATCCCCAAAATCCCGTGGCCCATCTCAGATCATGCAGTCCGGTGTTGCTCAGTAGGTGTAGCCCTTCTCGTACATGCCCTTGCCTGCCTCGGCAGACTCCTCAGCGGGGTCGTACTTGCCGAGCTGAGCCATGCTGTTGGCCTTGGCGCGCTTGATGAGAGCCTGCAAACAGAGGCAGGCAGGAACGCTCGAACATATATATGGACCAAACAGCCATGTGTTGTGTGCATAGCACTTCAGAAGCAAGGTCCTTGCGGCCCCCAAAACAGGCGAACGATGGACATGTTGCGCACCAGTGACACAACCAACTACAAACTTCATACATTCTTGCTTGAAGCCAGGACATGATGAGACAACTAATTGGCTGCTAAATGCTACACATTGCTACAATATGCTCAGCGCACCAACTCTACTTGCACGGTCAGCAGGACAAACGTCACACAGAGGTGGATAAAGACTTCAGCTGGGGACCAACAGAGAGGCGATCCCATCCTTTTACTACACTGCCAGGAGGGCCCACACAAGGGAAACGAAGTGCGCCATGGCCCAAAGCCTTGATCGCTCAACAAGAGAGCCCCACACAGCAAGTGTCATGAATGCCAAACCACCACAGCAGTTGCATACCTCCTGGGCAGCCTTGGAGTTGCTCGCATCTCCTTGCCACGTCTTCAGGACAGAGTTCTGGAGGGCGCGGGCATAAGAGAAGGACACGTGCCAGGGATTGGGCGACTGGTTCATGGCGTTCAGGTTGAGCGTTGCCTCCATCTCGGACTGGCCGCCAGACAAGAACATGATGCCAGGCACGGCCGGCGGCACGCGGCTCTTCAGCATCTTGAGGGTATAGTCAGCCACGGTCTCGGGGGACTCCCTCTTGGGGCATTCGGCGCCGGGGGTCACCATGGAGGGTTTCAGGAGGATGCCCTCAAACAGGACCTGTGGAAAGGTGTGTGTCCAGATCAGTCCAGGCAACACTACAGCGCTTCATATGTTCTCTCGAGTTTAGACACATCGCTCAGGCGAGAAATGTACCCGTGAAATTGGTGTGATGGCCACGAAAATTGAAAGCACAGTACCTGCACCCAACCGATCGCACCTAGAGATGGATAGCACAGGTAGAACAGATACTTAACAGGTGGGGTTGGGTGGGGTTGTCAGAAACAATTCCGGCGTTTAATGAAAGCAGGCCAAACGCGTCTGAGCCATTGCAAGGGGCGCCGGCGGCAGTCCAGTTTCAGAACCGCGCCGGCCGCGGCGCCCACCTTGTTGTCGGCCAGGTATTTGAAGGTCTCGGCCCAGATGTCCTGGGCCACCTTGAAGGTCGTGTCGATGTCGTGGTCGCCGTCCAGCAGCACCTCCGGCTCGACGATCGGCACGAGGCCGGCCTCCTGCGCGATCGCGGCGTACCTCGCCAGGCCGTAGGCGCAGTCCCTGATCCAGAGCAAGGGAAAAGAGTCTCACAACGGTCCACCGTCACTGGAGCTCACCCAGAAGGGACCACCTGACGGTTCCCTTCATCAGAATAACCCTACATGCGACGGCACGCCGTGCCTGCAATTTTGACGGGATCACAGCCTCTCTTTCGGGCGATCTGGCGCGACGATGCGCGTGCACTTGGGCCAATGGAGAGGGGAAGGGCTCACCTGAGCGCCATGGGGGTGGGCCCTCCGGGGATGCTGACCACCGACCTCCACTTGCAGAACCGGGCGCCGGCCTTGTAGTACTCCGCGCACCTCTGCGCCAGGCCGTCCAGCCCCTGGCACCAGGACTCGCCGTTGGAGTTGGTCATCGGCACCAGCCCCTTGTCCACCTTGATCCCGGGCACGATGTTCTGCTCCTTTAGGCACTGCACGAAGGTGCGGCCGTCGCTGGCGCTCTGGTACAGCGTCTCCTCGAAGAGGATGGCGCCGGAAATATACTGGCCCAGCCCGGGGGTCGTCACCAGCAGCTCGCGGTAGGTGCGGCGGTTGTCCTCGGTGTTCTCCACGCCAATCGAGTCCAGGCGCTTGCCGCAGGTCGCGTTGGACTCGTCCATGGCCAGGATGCCGCGTCCGGCGGAAGCGATGCTGTTCTGCGCGGGCCAAGCCAAGCGGCGGGGTTAACAAATTGACAAATGCCGTTGGGAGGCGCCAAGCGAGGGGAGGGGGGAAAGCCATCGCGAAAGCCAGCCGCCCCCCGGCCTTCCGCCGCTTCGGCCAAAAAAGGCCACGCCCGAGAGCCTCAGGGGCGCTTAGATGCCGGCGGACCCGCCAATATCCACCAGCCGGCCGCGAGGCTGCGTGAGCGAGCCTCCCGGATCGCCGATGCGGCGCCAGGCCGGGCATCATTCCGCCGGCCGCCGGGCGCGGCAGCGCGGCGAGCCTTAACGCCCTCGCGGGCCCACCCGAGGACGCGGCCGGCGGCGCGTGGTGCGGATCGCGGTGCCAACTCACGGCGGTGGCGACAAGCTCCTCGTCGTAGGCCCCGCATCGCACTTCCCAGTGGACCGGACGTCCCCGGGGGGCGCCCGCCGGGGCCTGGGGCACCAGCGCGCGCGGCGCCAGGAAGGCGGACGACTTGGCGGTCATCGAGGCGGCCATGGCGAGCAGCACTGCGGAACAAGTCTGGCTAGTCGGAGAGAGGCGCCGGGCGCGCGGAGCGGCGACCGGAGGCGGGCGGGGGAGGGCGCCGGGGGGGAGCAAGGCGGTGCAATAGCGGCCCGTGGGCGCAGGGGTGCCACATCAAATAGGGCGAGGGGGGGTCGTTGGCCCTGAGCCTCGCGATGCCACGTGGGCGATCCGGGTGGGGCGGGGGGCTGGGCCACGTGGCGGCGCGGCCGCTGCAAGGGGGGGAGGCCGGTGCGCGGATGACCACGGTGGCGCGCACGGAGAGTGTCGGCTGGGTGTGGGGCTGTGGAGAGGTTGGCGGGGAGGGGAGAATTTGTTGCCCGGGATGCCGCCGCCGCCCAGAGCGGCTGGGCGATTCCGCTGGCGCGCCCAGCGGCGGTGGATCGAGATCTGTAGGTGTTAAAGTACATGCCCCTTAGTGATCGCCCCGAAGGACCCATAGATCACAGGCTGAACTTAATCTTCGCTCCATTAAAACTCGCGTTGCTTTGAGAGTTCGAGATCACCATATTGAACTGAACAAATAAGCCATTGCTTAAATTGATGATCAATCACAATCAACATCGTCAAGAAATCAATCCTGATTGAGCAACATCACTTCATTTTCAAATGCTCAGTCCACATGCATCACCCTTTCAACCCAATATACCCAACCATCACACATGACTTGAGAAACCTACACAACACTTGCTACCACTTTTCCACCTCTTGCCAAATGCAATGTTGCCCTTTGCACCACACCTTGCTTTGAATCTAAAGATCCATCATTTGACAATTCAATTCTGATCCCTTTGATCCTCCATATCCACACTGGATCATTTCAGAATATTCTCTAAGTCCGCCAGATGAATCTTCACCCTTGCCTGAACAAGTTTGCTCATGGGGCCCCAATCCAAATTCGGACTCCTTCTTGGTGCTCCAGTACTTAAGGTCTTCTAGGAGAGGGGCCCTATTGGGCCCCCGGGCCCAAGAACGAGGGGGTGCGGGCGGTTGGCACTATTGTCAAATGGACCAGCGGCCCCCCCCTTTTATCCTCCGCCTCTGCCCCATAACACCACTCCCCAACACTATCACAACATCCCTTACACCACAATACCCCATGTCTTATCCCATAGAACTTTCCCTTACACCATTTCCTTCTACATACACTTCCTATTGAACTACCCTGTTCCAACGCCCTACCACACTGCGAACTCACATATTGCACCTATAACATTCCCCCTTCCCGTCAGAATCCACCACACTCGCCAGAATTCACCATATGCATTTCCTAGTGACAATATCCCATTATGCCATCATCATTTTCCTTTATCCCATGCACAGCACCAGCCACCGGCATACTTTACACTCTATTGCACTTTCCACACAACTCTCACGGCGCCCACAGCATTCCACAGCCCTCACACACGCTGCCAAGGGTGGCAGGACGGTGACACGCTCAACATCACCCATCACACTATTGCCACCACCCTTATGTAATGCACATGGCACACCGCGCCCAACGACCAGTGCCACCAAGTTCACACCTATATTACAGCGTGTGTCAGCCTATGACATGCCGCATTCACCTATGTTGATAAAAATAGATGATTGATCATTATCCTAAATGATTTAAATGAGTTTAATGACTTAAATGATTGTCATTTAACCATAGCATATCCAAATTCATCAGAATCGCGCAAGCAATTCAATGATCATGTTTTCACCGCCTAATTCATTCATCTAAGCCATCTAACTCATCAAAACTTTTGTCAAATCATCTTAAACATCAATTGATCCTTTGTGTTGTTGTGCACACCCTAAGTTTTGCCTCAATGGGGAGCTAGTCACCGTATGCATCATATTGTTGTTTTTCCACTTGTGCAGCAATGCCAATTTGTTGTCCACATCATCCACACATTAGTCACCATGGTGACTATACCATAATTTAACATGGGCACACCAGCTTACCCTGCGCAAACTCCGAATCTTTAGCACCAACTTTCTGCCCTTGTACTCATTCCTATTCCAATGACAACAAATCCAACTCATGTTATCCTCAATGAAACTCCTTATGCTCTTCTTTGATCCGATCAACCAGAAATATTCCACTTGCAAAACTAGACAGGTTACCTTCCCGTCCAACCTCCCCCTCCTGTTGTATTGCTGGAACTCGCGCTTGCACAGAGTTGACCGCCACTCCTTAATCCTCCCAGCTCTCTTCATGCTCCAGGGGTTCCATCCAGCTAGACTTACGAAGCTTTGGGAATGCAGAAGAATAGACCCTCCATGGCTGCTTCCCGCCAAGGTGATGTAACTTGGTTTCGAAACCAAAATCACCACTGGCCAACTTCACAGCTGAAATCACTCGAGCTTGTCTTTGTCCATAAATGTGCTTCAAAACTGATGGTCGCGATCCACCAACTTCAACACTTGAGCCAAAGCAATGCTATCCATCCATTGTACCTTGCCTGATCATCGAAAACTTCCTTATCCTCTTCTGTCCATCAAGTCATATTTTGCCCTTTCCTTTCCTCTTGGCATCTTTGCTTTGTCCTTTCTCCAATCAATAGAATATTCCAACACCTTACCAATACCTCCTTGAGCACGTGATTGCTCTTTGAACCTCCAATCAATGTTAGATGCCAAGGTATGATCCAAAAAGAAGGAACCAACCATAGCACACTAGGGCAAACTTTGACTCACAGATGAGTACTTACCCTTTCCATCGTCAACCTCGATATATCATTCACCAGGAAAGTAGCTACACATCTTTCAAGATGCAAATTTGCAGCTCCTATCAGCAATACAGTCCCATACCTGTATGCCAATGATGCTCTCCAATTCTCACACAACCATGAAGTGAAAGTAGCAAATCAGATCTGATTCCATGAAACTGATGCCATACTCAATCCACTTGTCAGCTTAGAGACAAAGTCAACCAACACAAAACGATCCTTGGTACCACATCCATGAAACACTCATGCCTTGGGCTATAAGCAACCAACATACCACACACATATCCAAACTCCGAATTCAAGACACATCCAAGAATAATCTATCGGATCTTTGCAGGTCGAATCCTACTCCCCGATTACCTCAGCACTGCTTGTCCAAGACTGACCACCACACATGTATCCTCCCAGCCCTCTTCAGACCCCACAGGCTAGGATCAAAACCGCTCAAATCCAAATGGGATACAGACCTCCCACCGGTCAATATCCAACCAATCATCATAACATTGCAGTCCCATACCTGCAAGCTAGATGAATGTCAATAGCTATGAAACTGACAAACCACCTCATCCTTCCATTCTCAATCCAGTGCGATGAAATTGCACCAGAACCAAGTCCAACATTCTCACCTCCCAAATCCAATATCCCAATTATGGCATTCATAATGTGTGACACAATTGTTAACGAGCATTCAACAAACCTTTCCAGCATATTCAAAAGAAGTGCCCATTTGCCAACCTCGAGCTTCCAATAGATCCATAAAGGAATCCAAAAAGTCCAAGAACAATAAGAATGTTGTTCCAACAAACTCAAACACATAAACCAAATCGAACCAACATGAAGCAATTCAAGAGAAACACAATCAGAACCATCGAATCATCAAACCATCAGAATGTCAAGGTAGAAAAACCTTGAAAACACTGCTCACCAAAAATCACCCATCACACTCAACCACCAATCACCAAACCAATCACCATCAAACACTGATCACTTCCACTTGCCACAACACACATATCCACACACTGCCATAGCCACTAACTATTGGGACATTCTCCTTGGGAAAATTAGATCCACATCATCCGCAACTTCATCACTCATATTGTGGTGGGCCCAGCTGCAAAATGCAGCCCCAAATCTCAAAGGACAAAGCCTGGAATCAATACCGACTCCCTCAATAATGAAGGTCACAGGCCACATCTATTTTGCATGTCTTTTGATGGCACTTTGATGTCCTTTCACATCACGTTTGCCTTTTTCCATATTTCTATATTCCATTCACTTGATATCCCCATCACTTTTTAACCATCATTTTTGCCACCAAAACTCACCAGGATTAACCTACCCTCGGCCCATTAAAACTCCGTCACTTTGAGAGTTTGAGATCACCATATTGAACTGAACAAATAAGCCATTGCTTAAATTGATGATCAATCACAATCAACATCGTCAAGAAATCAATCCTGATTGAACAACATCACGTCACTTCATATGCTCAGTCCACATGAATCACCCTTTTGACCCAACATACACAACCATCACAGATGACTTGAGGTGTCCATACAATTCTTGCTACCGTTTTCCCATCTCTTGCCAAATGCAATGCTGCCCTTTGCACTACACCTTGCTCTGAATCTATAGATCCATCATCCGGCAATTCAATTCTTGATCCCCTCGATCCTCCTTATCCACACTGGATCACTTCAGAATATTCTACAAATTCGCCAGATGAATCTCCACTCTCGCCTAAACAAGTTTGCTCATGGGGCCCTAGTCCGAATTCGGACTCCTTCTTGGTGCTCCAATACTTAAGGTCTTCTAGGAGAGGGGCCCTATTGGGCCCCCGGGCCCAAGAACGAGGGGGTGCGGGCGGTTGGCACTATTGTCAAATGGACCAGCGGCCCCCCTCTTTTATCCTCCGCCTCTGCCCTATAACACCACTCCCTAACACTATCACAACATCCCTTACACCACAACACCCCATGCCTTATCCCATAGAACTTTCCCTTACACCATTTCCTTCTAAATACACTTCCTATTGAACTACCCTGTTCCAACGCCCTACCACACTGCGAACTCACATATTGCACCTATAACATTCCCCCTTCCCGTCAGAATCCACCACACTCGCCAGAATTCACCATATGCATTTTCTAGTGACAATATCCCATTATGCCATCACCATTTTCCTTTATCCCATGCACAGCACCAGCCACCGGCATACTTTACACTCTATTGCACTTTCCACACAACTCTCACGGCGCCCACAGCATCCCACAGCCTTCACACACGCTGCCAAGGGTGGCAGGACGGTGACACGCTCAACATCACCCATCACACTATTGCTACCACCCTTATGTAATGCACATGGCACACCGCGCCCAACGACCAGTGCCACCAAGTTCACACCTATATTACAGCGCGTGTGAGCCCATGACATGCCGCATTCACCTATGTTGATAAAAATAGATGATTGATCATTATCCTAAATGATTCAAATGAGTTTAATGGCTTAAATGATTGTCATTTAACCATAGCATATCCAAATTCATCAGAATCGCGCAAGCAATTCAATGATCATGTTTTCACCGCCCAATTCATTCATCTAAGCCATCTAACTCATCAAAACTTTTGTCAAATCATCTTAAACATCAATTGATCCTTTGTGTTGTTGTGCACACCCTAAGTTTTGCCTCAATGGGGAGCTAGTCACCGTATGCATCATATTGTTGTTTTTCCACTTGTGCAGCAATGCCAATTTGTTGTCCACATCATCCACACATTAGTCACCATGGTGACTATACCATAATTTAACAGTAGGTCATGCGGCGGCCGAGGGCCCGTGCAGAATCTGCTTGGGGGCGCTGGAGTTCGGTCGAAGGGAGGCTGCAGTCGTTCCTGGCGAGTTTTGGGGGTGCTCTATGCCGAGTTGTTTGACTGCGTTTGCCGTCGGGTTTTAAACCCTTCCGCATCGGAAAATTTTGCCGTTGCGCTTTTTGCCCCGCATTTGCTTTTCAGAGCGTTATTTTTGTTTCTTTTGCGCTGTGCTGCACAAATTTCAATAAAAGAACGTTATTTGGTTTATTATTTTCTCCACAAAAAGGCCAAGTGTTACGTTACTATGCGGATGGGCTTAAAACCAACGGTAGTTCCACCCAGTCATGACGAGAGGAGAGTATATCTGTTATTTTTGAGTTGGGATTTCAAAATCTCCGCATGTGGATGATTCCATGGCGTAGGCCGTCGCAGTGGTCAAATCACCGGACCACCTCACATCACGCTGCAATTCCCCGCGTCTGTGTGACCGAGTCTTCCCATGACATTGTCCAGCATTTTGACATCTCGTGTCTAGCAGCCACAGCGCAACTGCTCCCATGGATATTGACTTTGTATGCCTGCATAGTGAAGGACCATCTTGATACAGATGAGGTGAGCGTGCTTCATTATGTTACGTAACTTCAGCACCATCGATTAACAACTCATTTTCCGCTGTTAGGAAGCACACGACGTACAGCTGGATTTGCTGAATCCCTACAATAGGATCCCAGACTTCATCTTGAGGTCTCCGCTCTGGAGAAATCATCCAGTTTGGGTATCATGGCGTTCTCCCATTGAACAGCGTGAGAACAATTTCTTAGAAAGAATTATCGTTCGCTGGAAAGCACTGTTTGCCATACTCCTGTACGTGAACGTGCTATGTTTGCATCACGCTGTCCCTGTGCTCTTTTCAACCCAACAAATCTGCTGATTGGTGGCTTGTGTTCCCACATGGGCAGAGTGGAATTTGGGTGTGAGCGCACGCCCTTCCTGATTGTCGTGTCGTCCAGTTGTGGGTGCATGCTCGGGTTGGCAGTGGCGCTCTTTGACATACGCCTTCGTGGTTCCGTGCAATCCCATGGTACCTCAACGGCTCGGAGCGTGCAACAGGCGAAGCTCAAGGCATTGATTGCGGCGTTCTCTTGGCTCGTGGCGTTGCTGGCAGCACACCAAACCCTCACAGCTGAGAGGCCGTCGACGTGTGACCTCCTTAGTAAGTGGGTTCGGAACTGATGGCACTGAAGGCAACACTGCAATGGTCCCTTCCTTGCCCACTCGCATCTTGCCCTAGGCAGCAGCCAACACTGCCATTCACACGCCCAAGCGGTGAGTAGGGGTTGCACCGACACATGCCTCGACCCACTGTTCAGGCACACACGTTGGTCCCAGCCCCTGCCCATCACTGCCGAGTTCTGGCCTTAAAGTAAACTCCTGTTGTAATGGGTTTGCACTGGCTGACCAACAGAGCTCCAAAGCCCATGGAGCAAGTCGAACTTCATCAACAGCCTGGACAAGACGGAATCAGCTGGTGCTGATTACAAAAAACAACTTCGCAACAAGGACGGTCGATGACAGCCACTCGAGCGACACCGCTGCTCCAGCCGTCACACCTCAGATGATCAATGCACAAGGTACACAAGGTGCCATGATACACTGCACATCAATCAACATTGTCCTCCGAATAGTGAGCAAACTGGCTGGTATGATCGATCCACAAAAGGGACACAGAGCTCCTCCCAAAAAGACCCCTCACACACCACTCACAGGTGAGGGGTACATGCCCTTGCATCGCCCAGTCCTCATTACACATCCATCCTGTTGGTCCCAAGGTCAAAATTCACATCTACCACAGCGGCATCACCAGGCGCAGTGAGGCACTCACAGCATCCTTCCACCAGCACCACGGTCCTTATGTAACACTCTTGTCTGACTCTAGCACAAGGAGACATAAAGAATGACAGGGGCCACTCCATACTCAGCTGGACAGTTCAGTCAGCACCAATGGGCAAACAACCAAAGGCCCCATGCCAAGCACAGAGCCCTTCATAAGATCCTGTTCTGTCAAGAGCAACACAGCAGGAACAGGATGCAAGCCGACATTGAGACACTAGACCGCTCCAGCTCCGTCGTCTTCTTGCTTGTCGCCCTTGCCAGGCTCCTCCTGGTCCTTGCAAACAACAAAACGGGTGGTCACAATTCCGTGCACACTGGTCGATGTTGTCCAGTGGCGGCAGTGCCTACAGTGGCCGGGCAAGCCCTAGAAGTCCCACAACACAGCACTTGCACCCGCACCCACATATACAAGGATCTCGAGAGCGCACGCCAAGCAGGTTCCCTTCACAGAAAGATGCAAAATGTGTGAGATGTGCCAAATTGGGTACCAGTCAGACAAAAACTGCAAGAAGATTGCCCAGAGTGGCAGATTGTATCACTTCAGCAATGTGACTAAGAAACTGGTCATGGCGCGTGCCTCCACTGAGTTTCGGTCATCGGCCAGTGTCTCCTTCCAGCAGTTGAAAGGCACTCGCAGCAGAGAAGTTACCTGCATGTCGGAGGTCCACAGGGTCAGGTTGTCCCGCAGCAACTGCATGATCAGTGTGCTGTCCTTGTAGGACTCCTCTCCAAGGGTGTCCAGCTCAGCAATGGCCTCATCGAAAGCCTGTCAGCCAAAGGCACACACACGCTTCACACGTCAATACTAGTTGCGCTCCAAACTAGGTTGGTGACAGCAGGAGGCAGACTGTGCCCATACATGGACAGCTTGTTTTCAGGGTGACGTGCTGAGGCAGGCTGCCCCGTACCCTCCACTCGCAAGCCATTGCCTTCAACTGAACATCGTCAGATTCTGTCCAGCAAGGAGCCACAAAGATGGCTGCCTGCCCATTAAACGAAAACGGGGTTGCCCAAGTTGTGGCGCCCCCTAAGCTGGTGTTCAGGAGGAGTAAAGTAGGCAGCAGCAAGTGCCCTGCCAGGAGCAAGCCCTGCAGCTCGCACCTGCTTTGCCAGATGGCAGGCCCGCTCGGGAGAATTCAAAATCTCATAATAGAAGACAGAGAAGTTGAGGGCCAGGCCAAGGCGAATCGGGTGCGTGGGCGCCAGATCAACCAGTGCAATGTCCTGCGCACATGCACAAACCCAATGTCAATAGGTGGCCCTTGCTGTTCGCGTTCACAGGGTAGAGGTGCATGCTACCGTGGCACAGACTTCCAACTCAAAGGAATGCCAGCCTTTCGGCATTGGTGGGCAAGAGCGCCCATCGTTGCCTGCCATACGTGCAACAACGTCTTTCCAGAGGTGGAAAGCCACCAGCCATCACCAAATGGATCCCTTCATCCCCACCCTTGTTGCTATATAAGATATTCTGTGTCCATGCAGCAGCAAAGACGCGAAACGGGGAGTAGGCGTGGCCACAGAGAACAAGCTCCACGCCTGCGCGAGCGTGTCGGCACGATGAGCGCCCTCGTTCTTGCCATAAGATGGGGAAGGAGTTGGGTATCTGGCAGCCTGGCGCCTCGCCACCCACCTGCGCCTCTTTGTAGGCGGCCAGCGTGTTGTCGGCGGAGTCCTTCTTGTCGCCGCCAGCCTTGAACTCCGCCAGGTAGCGGTGGTAGTCGCCCTTCATTTTCAGGTAGAAGACCTTGGACTCGCCGGAGGAGGCGGTGGGGATGAGGTGCTCGTCCAGCAGCCCGAGAATGTTGTTGCAGATGTCCTGCAGCTCCTGCTCCACCTGCGGGCAGCGCGCGCAGAGGCAAATCTTGTTCAGCGCGGGGGTGCCGTCACAAGGCCGACCGGCACAACAAGGGGAACCTGCGCCGTGCACGGGGATCCCCTCCCCTTGCGCTCGCACCTTCCAGAAGGACCCGGCGTTCCAACGAAGCGGCCAGTGCGGCAAAAGGACTGGAGTTCAAACGAATTTGCCGGTCGCCGAGGATCGCAGCCTCGGGCGAGGCCGAGGCAGCGAGCGCGTCACCATGACGGGACAGCCCCGAGCCCGCAGCCGCGCACGCGCCTTCCGCGCGCGCGGTGACTAGGCCCCGCCGGCCCGGCCGGCCGCGGGCCGCCTTTCGGAATGCGTGAGCGCGTGGCCGCCCCCGCCGGGAGGCATTGGCCGCCATGCGAGGCGCCCCTCGACGACTGCCTCGGCCAGAAAAACCGGAAACACGTCGGCGGCGGCGACCGACCGCAGCCGCTACTGCTTCCCGGGCGGTGCGGGGCGGGCATCGGCGGCGGTGAATCACGCCAACGGGCCCCCCGGCGGGCGCCCGGGCGGCAGGGCGCATCCGCGGCGATGCCCGAAAGGCCAGGCCGCCTTGAGCCACCCGCACGCACGCGCGTGGACACGGCCCAGACGCCCATGGCCGGCCGAAGGTCCTGGCGCCCCCCCTCCCTCGCCCCCTCCCCTCCCGCGGAGATCCCTCCCAAGACAAACCACCCGCCGCGCTCGCCCGTCGCCGGGCGCCCCGCCCAGTCGATCTGGCCGGCACACTCAACCGCCGGCAACGAAACTGCGCACGGCGAGGATCCTCCCACGGCCACCCGGCCCGCCTTCCAGCCGCGATATCCCCTGCGGAGCCGGCCGCCGCCCAGCCCCGCCCGCCTGGCGCGGGGCATGTACCTGACGACGGTACTTCTTGATCCTCTCCACGTGCTCCGTGTTCCCCTTGTTCTCCTCCTTCTGCTCGATGCTCGACACGATCCGCCAGCTCGCCCGCCGCGACCCGATCACGTTCTTGTATGCCACGCTGAGCAGGTTGCGCTCCTCCACGCTCAGCTCCTGGGCGTGCACCATCTTGGCGATCTTGCGCACCTCCTCCACCATCTCGTCGTAGCGCTCGGCCTGCTCGGCGAGCTTGGCCAGAAACACGCACTCCTCGCGGTCGCCCAAATCGCCCGCCATGGCTCGCTCGATCAGATCCCAAGGCCCTCCGCGGCTTGAGCTTGGCGGGGAAAGGCGCAAATACCGCGCCCGGTTCCAAACGAGGCAGGCGGGGGGGTGGCGGAAAGCGAGGGGCGCCGACCTGGGCTGCCGCAGTAGATGTGGGCGAGCGTGACAAGAGACGGATTCAGGGAGGACAGCCTCGCTGGGCGGCCGGATTTGCCGGGGCCCAGTACTTTGCCCCGTACTGGCCTCCAGCCGTTGTGTTGGAGGGAGTGGCCGGTCGGGCGGCGGGGCAAGGGGTCTTCACGGCGGGGAGTCGCAGCTGTCCCGCGGCTCCAAGGGGGTGGCAGAGGGCGTGGATGTGAGCGCGGAAGGCGAGGTGTCGACTTGGCGGGCGCCCGCGTCTCGTCTGCGCGTGCGAGGAAGCGCGTCCTCACACGCACCGCCACGGAATCTTGGTGGTTTGGACTCTCAAGCCATGGCCGCAGTGATCCAGGTGGTGGCATTGACATTGGCCGAAAGTACTGTGCGTTGTACATTTGATTATAGAAGCAATGGATGCGGTGTGGCACACCGTGTCACCGCCCTTTGCTTGCATCCCGGTCTTTCGACCCTTGTGGCATCACACCGCCCTTGTCCTCCAATATGCACCACCCTCGTTCTCGTTCCCAAGGTTTGTAGCTGTCTGCTCATAACCTGTCTTTGGAGCGTGTTTTCCTCTTTTTCTACGATCTATATTCGCAATGGTGGCTTGCTTGGGTCTTCCCGTGCAGTGAAAACAGGGGGCACAGTAGGAACCCAACGTACACCAAGTGCACAACTGGTACACCCAGTGAAACGGTGGATGCTATGTGGCGTCTCGCTTTCCAAGCCCCTCCAAAAGTTCGCAGCCAAAGGCCGTGCAAACGCTGAGTGTGGGCTGGCGGCGTGGGTGGACGCAAGGGTTTCATTTGAGGGCCATCATTGGCTGGGTTGCTTTTCAGTCGCTACATTTTTGCGGACAGTACCCATCCCTCCCTTATGTCGCACAAGATGGGGTCTCATGCTCTCTGCAGCACAGCGCAAGGTGCAATGCCGCACGTTGGGCAAGTCAGCATCAATGCATCGCACGATCGGGCCCGCCGCAGCAAGCGGTACAGTACCATCATACACTTTCGCAATGCGAAAGATAGCGCAATGCGAAATTCGCTTCATACACTTCAGCGCAGTTGAAACGTGCAAGCAAAACGTGGCAAAATAGTTTCTTGCTGCTTCTAGCTGATGAACAATGTTGAGCGATGTGCTGTCAGCGAACACTTGGCACAACGTTGATAACCGCCGCTGTGACAAGGATTGCTGTCCGCCAACGAACATCTACCCTGTCTGTCCTCCTAAACACCAGACAGCGAACATCGGACGGTCTCCACACACATCGACCACTATCTGCGGCAGTGCTCCGGAAGTTCCATCCAATAACGGAAAAATCCAGTTTACACAATTCCAGTTTGAGTCTGAACGAACGTAACCTGAAATTTGAGGAGTGTAAGACTGCTCAGAAAGGTAGAAAGTTGGTGTAAATCTTGCTTCGGCACAACTAGCCCTTCAAAGCAACATGAACGATATGCTTGTGTTTAGCAGTAGTACAAGGCTTTGAAGTCGGAATACGGTGAATGACGTATCAGAAAAAACGAGTCTGATCATTCACACTGCTGGCATCGAGCGAAAAAAGGAGTTTGATAAGGCTCCCATCATTGGGGCGCAATGCGCCAGTTTCATTGCTTTAACGTGTAATACCTAAAAGTCAATCGGCCAAGAAGATGTTCTGACTGACATGTGGAAGGCTTCACTGGGACGGAAACTCTAGCAAGGCGTTGCAGGCAACGACAAACTGCATGTCGCAGCTTACACAGAGCGCCAACTATCTGTCGCGAAATTGCCATGTGAAAGCGGCTGCTTAACACCAAAGAAATCCAAAAGCTCAATTGGCTAGATGCATGAGGCGCCAAGTGCTCCACGATGTGGCTCACTATGTACGTCAGCGTGTCTAAATGCATTGGCTTCCAATCGCTTGAAGGGCCCTTGGACAAGGCATGGAAATGATCCTTGTAAGAGCAAACACGCCAGAAAGATCCAATCCCACTCTAGCCCACATGAACGCTGGCCATCCCGAGTGCCTTTCCATTCAGAACATCCTATCCACATTACCATACATGCGCACACACCCTTGCGGGCTCCTCACAGTCCCAAGCACTCAAAATCTGGACGAAGCACCTTTCGAGGTGGCCGCATAATTCTCACCTTGCATGCAGTAACCCTTCCAGAAAGCGTAGCCGACAGTCAGAAAGTTAAACAGCAAAGTCACTGGAACATTTGCCCTGCGCTCTGCCAAGTCCCCGCTCCTCCAAGACGCGGTTTGAACATCACTAACGGGAGCGCCTTTGGTGTCGCTGGGATCCCGTGTTCAGGAATCGGCGTATTTCACCGCTAAATCGCCTTGCTTCAATTTGCCTTGGAGAGAATGCACGTGGGCCTTGCATCTTGAAGGCCATGACGTCATGCACACGCCCAAAATGGTTTTCTGTCATGCATGCGTCCATGTCACCAGCTCGCCGCCTCCGCGTGCCCTCAATGACGAGTTGCGTCCCTCCACGCGAATCAAGGATCTGCTCGTCAGGGAAAGCGAACGGCTGCAGAAGGGATGGGTGCGGCATATAAACGACTAACATTGATACGTGATATTGGCGCATGAACTAACAAGTGATGATCTCATTGGAATAGAACACAAATGCGGTGTGTATCTGAAACCAATTGGCCAGGTCAGCACATTAAAAAGCAAAAAATGCGTAAAACAAGCCGAATTTACAATCCATGTGAAATCCCGCACTGGCAATGGTTACGGAGACATCGTGCATTGATATTTACGTGGAGCCATGCAACTTGGTCTGAACAATCTGGACACTTCTCAATTTGAATTGCTCCTCACACGTTCAAACAGCTAGCCATTTCATCGGAATGTCAATTAAAGGTCAAATGGTGGGAAGCGCGCAAAACAATTCATTGTAATTCCCCTTTGTAGCTGCACACCTCCCACAAACTTGGTGATGGTGGCTCCGTAGTACGAGTCAGTACTTGGGCGCCGACATCACTGGCACATTCTGCGCCCGATACTGCCATGACATCTACGTATCAATGTACAGGCAACGAGCAGACCCAACGACATCCCCAAAAAGAAATTGTTCTCCAGTCGGCTGCCTGCTGGTGTGCCATTGCTGCACATTATTCTCATGGAAGAGAGACCAACACAACAGCTGGAATTCACGCAGCCGCATCCTACGAGAAGGCGATCGAAGCGAGCTAGAACAACGCAGCATTGTTCATTGATCAGAATCCAATCATAGGAAACCGTAGCTTGCGCGTGTTGGTGGACGCACAAAGCATGCATCCACCGTGCGATCCCATGACCTACAAACACCGAACTGGCAATAGTGCTGCTGCCTGTGCCGACAGTACTTCTTGTGTTGTTTGCGCCAGCCGTCTTGCCAGTACTGACAATGTTAAGTTACTGAGCCAGAGGCATAGATGGTGGACAAGGCGTTGACTAATCGCGCCCTTGGCATTGGTTCACACGTTATGCGCTGCGCAAACTCCGCCCAAAGGCCATTCACTTGTGCCTTACAAAAACCAATCAATTTTAATGTGACCTACTCCAAGTCAAGATCTGCCCCCGCAGGACATCGGGCACAATCGACGGGTACACGACAGTACTCAGAATCTGGGGAGCGATTCACGAATCTTGGAATTCCCGGCAAGCTTTAAGATTTGAAACTTTCAACAGCAGTTGGGCGCCGTTTCTCCACAACTCAACATACCTAACTCTCAGGACGTCTTCAGTTGACTCAGGTTCACCTCCACTCCTCTGGTAGCTCCGCCTGTGTGACGAACCTGATCGACATTTGCGAGGTACCATTTCGTCAGTAAGATCCAACACATATCTTGCCGACGCTTGTAATTCTACTACTCACACCTGCCAGAACAGCCGTGAAGAAAACAAGATCTTGTAACTTGCAGGTACTGTAGTATATCCAACCTTTCCGCATGAAAAATTCTTACCGTCACGTTTTTGCTCCGCATTTGTTTTTCAAACCATTAATTTTACGTGGCTCGGCACAAATTTGTCAAAAGGGCGTTATTTTTTATCTTTATCTCCGCCAAAACGCCAAAACGGCGCGTTGTTATGCGGAAGGGTTTAAAGAGCAACAGTGCTGACGAGCGTGTCAATGGTCAATCCGTGTTTGCTGATGGGATGTGTGCATTCCATGGCTTTTACAGATCTCCCGACATGTCCGCCAGCGCCTGCAATTCGCAAGAGCGACGTTCTGGCTGCAAAGCAAGACGTAACGTCGTCATGTTCAGCACCACGCCGTACACAAGAACGCCAGCAATCGGTTGCAGTGCTGATTTGCTCCGTTGTTGTCTGGTCCTATATATCTCTAATTATCTACCTCATTGATCCTGCTGTTCAACTGTTCCTGAGGACGCCCACCTGTCGTCGGCATTGAATTCCCATGTGGTGATATATGGGTTAGTTGGGCGGAAGATACAAGCGCTTGACTTTGACTTTGGGCCTGACTTTTAGGGGCCACTCATTGCCTGCCATGCCTCTGGGTGTGTGGAGGAATTGCACATACTGGCAACGGGTGGCCCGAAAAGGCATCACTCAAAGCGGAAACTGACACTCATACAAAAGCACAAAAAGCCATTTTGTGCCCTAAACAAGGAGAGCAAATGACTGTGTTAAATGTTCATCCTCGTCACGGTTGCGAACACAAGGGCTCGCTACTTCGTAGCACACAAATGCTTGATTTCGATACACGAATTTGAGCAATTGTCCGACTTGGTGCATCGCTGTTGAAAGGCGGTCAGATATGGGATTACAAACAGCTGCTTTGGGATGTGCGCTTTCCTTCAAAATCTGCTGCAGAATCCGGCAGCCAGCACATGCTGAAGATGACGCAGATTAACCATTTGGAGCACTGGTCAAGCTACTATATTCTATCACTACAATTAGCACTCGTTAGTATTGCACTGCTGATGTGTAGCGTCACAATGCATGATTATCAGCACTTTGACACTGCTCGAAATCACACAGAAAACTGTATGAAATGCATAGTTTCTGCCAGTTGCAAGAAACTCTGCATCACACCACGCAGCATGGCAATGACCCTCGCCCACTCTTCCATAGCGAATGGCCACCCCCCCTCGTGCCGCATATCTCAATGTTCGTCATATTCAATCTGCAGTTTGCAATGATCAGTTTAGCAGGTGAAGCGAACCTGATCGGCAGCGGTCCCTCTGTGAGCAGGACGCCGTTGCTGGACCGGTAGAACTTGTGTCCCTCGGCCATGGCGCCTGCCAGGTCCAGAGCCAAAAAGACGGTGGCCCATCGATTCTTTCGCAGGTGCACACCAGCCGTGGCGAAGTGTATGTGGGTACGACCCATCTTGCGCAGCTCGCCCGACTGCTGAATGGCCTCCCACCTGTTTCAACATCCGGCAATATGGTTAGAAACGCGTTGTTGTCCATTTCAGACCCATGTCTAAGCCTTAATTTTCTGAATTGAGCAAATTGCCGAAATATGTTCTGTCAGTGAAATCAATCATTCCAATTGTTGGCAAATGGTGCATCATTATAGTAGCACGTGCCTGAACGATACCACATCGTGTGATTACATATTATAGATTATATACAAAAGGAGGCAATGGCATCAAGTATTGGAGATGAAATACACCTTGCTGAAATACTGAAAATTTTAAGTATGTTTGAGACATAACAGGGATTCAGCATCACTCCAAATGCGATGTAAGGAATACCAGATGAGATCGCTGCCTACGTTCAGCTGACGTCAGCGGATGCTGAAGAATCTGGAAATGTGCACCGGGACATTTGTTGCGCGTGTACCTATAGGCAGCCACATTCATTGGGGTCACTGTGTAGCACACGTACCGTATTTACCCGGTATTGGTATCCACCCCCCTCTTTGGGGTTCGAAGCCATGTTAGTATCCATGACCCGGTGTTGGTGTCCAACCCCGAACGTCAACAAAAACGAACGAAGGCATGGATGGTGGCAGGGATGTCCGAGGGTGGTGCTTGGCCGCGTTGCGCAATCTGGGCCAAACCGCGTTCCCTGCGACTCGCGCATCGACGGGGACGACCGGGTCGGGGTGGATGCTGTCGAGGGAGAATTTGGAAGGAGGCCCGCGAAAGGCCGCGGGGTCGACTGGCTGGCGTTGGAGCTTTCAGCGCAGGATCGCCGGGCTGTGACCGACGCCGTGAGGCACGATCAAGGAAGCGGTCGAGAAATCAAAGCTGCCCTGGTTTCTGGATTGAGTCAACCTGCTTCCCTGCCCGCCAGAGCGGGTTCCGGCGTCGCGTCTGCCAAGGCCGCCCCAAGGTCCAGCGCCAGGAATTGGCAGGCGACGGCTGGTCGGGACGGCGGCCGTTGTGAGAATCCTCATCGCAAACTGCCCGCAAAACGCTGCAAGGCCGGGCCCGTCCCCAATTCGCACGCTGGATACCAGGCCACAAACCCAATCACAGATCCCATCAGCCATCCTGACAGGCATCAGCCCGGAAAGCGCAGGAGAGCCACGCCCGTCGTCGCGACGCGGCGCCCCAGCGTGTCGAGGCCCACGTCGTTCCTCGTTCTTCGCATCGTAGAGGCAAACGCGCCTCGAGCATTCCAGAGAGCCCATGATGGCCGGGTAGCAGCCCTGGGTCCTGGCCGCCGGCTCCCGTGAAGAGGCTAATAGCTTTCAGTAACAACATTGCCATTGATAATATGGAGTTGCCAATAGTGTGGTGTCCCTGATTTTGCAACTTTGGCTTGGTGATGTTGCTACCTATGCACTACATCTTGCTTTATTTCAAGCCCATTTCTGGGTATTTCACGGCCTATTTTTCAAAAGTCTTCTTTGCTGCTTCTTGGATCAGGGGTCTAAACTGCGTTAGTACCCATGACCCACTACTAGTATCCACTGCTCATTCTGGGTTCCAATACACGCCTACTAATGCTGGGTAAATACGGTATGTGCTACATACGTCCCCTGTTTCCCTTTCTTGAACAATGCACTACACACCTCGCATGCAACGGTGCAGCCCAAAGCGCCAACATCTTTGTACAGGAGCACTTCCACTCGGCCTTGTCGATGTATTTATAAACACAAAACAAGAAGAAAACACAAAAACATAAGTATGTTTTTGTAATTTCTTTCGACATGCATACGAATCATAAGATGTGGTCCTGTCTTCGCCAGGCCCACACCTCTAATGCAAATATTGTTACCAAAGTTGAATTCCGCCCTTTAACAGGAACAAAAAAACTGTCTAGATGCTTGTGGAACAGCGCCGGATGTCGCCAGTAGCTAACAGGGTCTGCTTCGTCATGCATGTGGTGAATCTCGTACGTGTCTTAGCACAGTCAGATACTGTCCGAAATGGGCGCCCCATAGCCGGCGTTTGTGCAGATATGCCTACCCTTCCCACCCCGTCACGTGGAATGCGAGAGGAACTTGCCCGGCCTCATTGACGGGATCCAGCTCGGGCGCTGCCAGCTGCACCGAATGGCCCTGCGCAGCCCTAATCCTGGGAGGGTTGGTGCCGATGTCTAGGACAAGGCGTTTCTGGCAAGCGAGCACAGATTCCCAGTGAGCCCCCCAAGGTGTTAGAATATATCAATTTAACAGAATTCGATAGAAGAAAGAAACATGTCCTTCTGGAAATTATTGACCAGCAGGCAACATTAACGAGGGCGATGTGACCGATGACACAGTTCTTGTGATTATCCTTACTAGCCTTGTTATTTACAGCATAACGCAGATCGTCTTTTACGTTTCTACACGTAAAAATGTATTTACGTTTTGACGCGTAAACAATTTAAATTTAATCCGCATAAATGCAGCCGTAAATATAGCCACAAAATTAACCGCTTCTGTGTGTTTACGATTTTACGCGTTAAAACGTAGAACGTGAAAACGTAACATAAATAACAAGCCTGATCCGCACTAGTAGTACTTCTAATATTAGTCCTTGGTTATAGTGTATTCCTAGGAAACAAGATATGCATTTTGTAGGTAAGGTGAAGTTCAATGGATTATTTAAACAAATGCAGTATTATGCCCACAAGACAGCACAACAACGAATGATCGAAAAAAGTAAAAATTCACCAAGGGGTCGAGCAACAGCAAGCAAGATTCTGCACAGTAGGGGGGACTAAGAGACCAATTCTTGGAGTTTTTCACGCTGTACTCCGACAGTGCATCCCGTACCGTTGGTGTGTATTTTATGTGCATGTAAATGCTAAACGTTGCACACTTGGATTGAAAACTATGCAATGGGTGTGTAGTTCTGGTTTGGGAGTCAGTCACGAGTCAGAGATGGATTCAATCTAGATGCCCCAGGGAATTTGTGAACCTCTGCATAATCTAGAGAGGCTGCTGATGTCCTGTAGAGAGAAACTTTGGCAAAACGCCAATACGCCCTTTGTTGCCTCGCAAACCCTTTCAAGCTGTTCCAATTTGTCTTGGTTGATGAAAGGCCTCTCACGAATGCTCAGATGAGTGAGATCAGTGAATTCGATAAAGAGATCTGAGCATGATTGATATTGCTGGAGCCCCGTGCTGGGTATGCGAGGACAGAGGGACTCCCTGTGCTTCTTAGTGTAGCTGGCAACGCTTTGCATTTTTTTATTGAAGGTGCATCGCGACTCCATTCACTTGCGGAATCGACCACGCTCAGGCACAGCCGACCGTCAGCCATTGGGAACCGAGCCCAAGTCCAAGTCCTTCTGCCCTAAACAGTAGAAATGAGGTGGCACTACAGCACAATATTGCTGCCAGTTATCTTGCAAGGAAAGTGCTCCCAGTGCTTGAAGAATTTGGGATCAATTGCTCCCCATGGGAAGCACAGCGGCAAGAATAGTAACACTGAGAATGGAAAAATAGAATAAAACATCTCGAGCGAAAGAATGGCTCCAGTCTATTCGCCCTGACGCGTATGCTGCAATCCGAAGTGAGAAGAACGTTGTAAATCAAGGTGAAAATGAGTGAACAGGACTGGGATTGCAGCAAAAATTGGAGGAATATGTTCTCCAAGGAACTGAGCACCAAAGGTTTGAAGCGCACCTTGTTGTTGTTGTCCACTATCCACTGCACCTCGTGCAGGGCCGCCGTCCATCGCAGATTCTCCAGCAGTGACGGCAACGGCACCCAGCCTGCGGGGTCCTGGGCAACGGATGGGTCGTGACGCAGGAAGCGCACCATACCCCTGCTGAGCTTGTCCAATTCTCGTTCCCTGGGCACCAGCGCATCGACCAGTAAGGAAAGAAGAGTCAGCCAGCCAAGATTTGGACACCTGAAGTTTCAGTATCTCTGGTCAAGCCCACTCGGGCCACCGAAACGCACCAAGTCGCAGGCGCCTCAAAACGATGCTCATCTCTGCATCCGTTGCAGAGGACTCAAAAAGGGATTCCGGCGTCTAATGAAACAAACGGAAGAAATCCGTCTGGACGCTGGGGCACCGCTCCAACGCTGGGCTTCTCGGCGCAGCGCTTCAGCGATTCTCCCCCGAAAGAGAATCCCGACTGATGGGCCCGAGACGCCACCGCCACCAGGGCACTACGACCCGATCCTTGGCTCACGTCCTGCGCCTCGATGGCCAGGAGGGCCGCTGAGACAGCGATTGCATCGATCGTCACCAGAAGCACTTCCGCGAAGGGGTACTGTAGGGGACTCCGCCTGTGCTGCTCACCTTTGACGGGAAATCCGAAAGTCTGGACCGTCCTCCATCATCTCCGCCATCTCTGCCACCCCGCGCCCCCAGCCCGACCGGGCGCGGCACCTGCGAGTCCAAGTCCAGAAAATCGAGACAGCCCTCCTGAACGTCTCGCTCTGCCAAACCTGCCGCGTCGCCCTTGAAAACGCGGGCTCTTGACTGGAAGCGGCATGAAGGTGGGGGGAAGCGGGCGAGCGAGGGTGGACACCCAATTAGTCCCTCCGTCTTTTTTCCAGGAAGATCCCTTGTTGTCGGACAGCCCAAACCCTCAAACCCGCTGACCCACTGACCGGCGTTGGCCGCGTTGGCCTTGTCAGCGGCAGAAGACACTAGGGAAACAAGGGCCAAACAACGCGCGTTCAAACGTGTGCAAAGTTTACGGGTTTGGTTTATTTTTGTGTTCTTAGCGTGCAGAATTTTGATGAAATGTGTGTTTCATGTGTGTTCGAAAAAGTGCTATTTGGTCCTTTTTTTGCTAGTGAGAAGGATTTGCATGGACAGGACGGAGGGACTAATATATTCTTGCGAGGGTGGCGTCCAACCCGCACCCCAAGTTTCCGAACCCCACCCCACCACGACCCTGGAAGAAAAACCTTTGCCCCTTATGCCCTGCAAATACCCGCGAAAGCGTACACAAATACATGCCAAGTTGGCACCGCCAACCACACCGGCACCCACAGCAGCAACGGCATACAATTACTGGCTGCACCAAATCGGTGACTGCTTGCACCAGAACCCTTCAAAACTAACCTAACCTGGCTCCTAAACACTAACCCCTGAACCTAAACCTACCCTAACCCTAAAACTCACCCTAAAACTGAGGTGAGGACCTAGTGTGCACGTGACTTCGTGCAAGCAGCCACCGATTTGGTGCAGGCAGTAATATTATTCCAGCAGCAACATGACCAACCCCCGTTCACTGCCCAAATCGCGGGCACGTCAACGTGCGCGTCACTGACCCACGGCGGTTCGCAGGCAAAGTCGCGACGGACGCCGCCTTCCCGACGGCGGCCATGGCGTGGCGCCGCCTGCGCCCCGCCCTCCGCGGCCTGCTGCCCTCCCGCCTCGCCGCTCTCACCCCCCCGGGGCCTACAACCCCCCTCCCCGCGTGCCATCCCCTCAATCCCTATCGCCACATCGCCGGCGCCGCATCCCTCCAGAGGGCCCCGGACGACCGCCCCAGACCGATTGGTAACTCAGTCTCAGATCCAGGGGAGACTTCATCTTCCGGAGACTCCAGGGCGGTCGAAGAGGCATTTAACCGGGATGAGGACCGGCTGGCGGCAGAGAGGCTGCGCGTGGCCACCCGCGAGCCGCCCGTGTGGCGGTACGACGAGGATGCGAACAACGCTGCCTACCTGAGCGGTGTGGTGCTGTCCGAGCCTCAGGAGATCCCACTGCGAGGGCGGGGGCTGGCCTTCTGCAAGGCCAGGCTAGAGCTGGTCCTGCTGAGCGGGTCGGACAGGCAAAGGACCAGGCACGCGCGGACAAGGGTTACTCTGTGGAACTATATGGCGCAGCAGGCCCTTGGGCACTTGAGGAGAGGGAGCATGATCGCACTGAGGGGGGAGCTGGAGGAATACGGTGGGGAAGTAGGGGTGGTGGCGCACGAGTTCGGGATGCTGGAAGACGCGCCGGTGAATGCACGTGCGGTTGTGGAGAGCTACGATGGGGCGCGGTCGGCCAGGAGCGCTGGGCGGGAGCTGAGGGCCACGCCCAGCAAGATGGCGTGCCTGGAGATGCACAGGCGCGGGATGGGGCTGGAGGAGATCGCGCGGGCGAGGAGGGTGCTGTGGACGACGGCCGCGGGCTACATCGCGCACTGCGCCTTTGCTGGTAAGATTTGTTACAAAGAGAGGAAGAAACAGTTCATACAAAGGGCAGTCCCTCCTAGGCAAGTGCATGCGAGGCTCTTTTCCACACTGTGAAAAGATGATGTAGAGCCTGTGCTGGTGGGGACTGGCTTGAGCTGAGCTGAGCTGAAGTCAGTCGGCCAATCCTTGAGGTCCGCGAGCATCAAGTTAAGGTCGTGGTGTTGCGATTGAATGGCGGGATGGAGGGGTGGCGAGGGGTGAATGCGTGCAGTCATCGTCGCAAGCAGGGAACGCGGCTGTGGGCAACGGTGGGTCGCCTCTGCGCAAAGACGATTGATCCCAAACTGCAAGCAAAGCCAAGAGCACGGGAGTCGCTCTCAAGCCCGGCACAACAAAGGATGTGCGATCCAAGGGGCAAACACACAACTCCAGCTGGTTGAACCCACCTGCCTGGCTATGGTGGCAAACTGAGACGCGCCATCCATTCCATATTGCACAACCCATGATAAATGTTGGCTCCATCCTCTGTGGTAGACGAGAGCTGGTGGGCTACAACCAGGGAGGGCCCCATGTGGGGCCAATGGTCGTGTCTTCTATGCCTGCATTTGTGCCAAGTGCCACAGAAAGAGTAAACCTTGAGCAATACCACAAACGCACCTCAAGGGACCACCGATGGCATGTCAATGGCAAGTCAATGCGGAAACCAGGTCGCTTCCAGGAAACAGGCAAATCGTGTTCAGTTTTGTCCTCTGGAAGGTTGCATTTAGAGCAGTTTTGGACAAGCCCTTTACGGGTGACACAGTTATGCTTTCTTGCTACGCGTAAGCCTGTGGATGGTACGTTGGTGTCAACAAAGGCGGGGTAACATCATTGACAGATATCACAAAGTGCTGCAATAGACGATGGTGGGGGCAAAGAGAACCGCCTCTGAATCGAATTTCTTGTGTGCTTCACAGGGGAGCAGGTTGATTGGGGGAGGTTCTGTAGGGACATAAAGCTGGGCCCACCTGAGGGCTCATTTCTGAGTGTGGATGAAATCCATGAGGTGGTTGAGGCAGTACGCAGATCATCAAATAATGGGTCATGGGAGAAAATAGACGTGATGCAGGTGTGAAATATTGTAGAGTCGACTGGTCCCAATTTCACCACATGTTGCCCGTTTGCCCGCCAGTTCAGTGTTGTTGCAAATTAGTCTTCTGAGCCTATGTTGTTGTGGTGGATTTCTCGAAGCAGGACCTTTGCTTCAAGCTTTTGCACAGCACGGTATCTTTTGCGTTTCCAAAATTGAACAAAGTTGCTAAAGTGGCCTGCCCTGAATGCATGTTTTGCTTGTTAACTGTGCTGTTCCTTCTTGTTGCTCTTTTGGTTGCACATGGGGACTTCTGCATTGCTGATCAATGCGTATGGGAGAGCCTTGCATCACTGTTCCTGCTCAGGAAGTGAAGAAATACAATAAGTAACAAATATCCTCGTGAGCTGAGTTGTGACACAAGTTGGTGATGTTGCACACCTCTTGTTCAGACATAGTCGTTCTGACCTGTCCAACCATTGATGATAGTTCACCCAAAGGCATATGACGTGCCCATGAGGGGTTACCTGGCTGCTGAAACGTTTCCTTGCTGCAAAGAGAGGCAGTGATTGAATTAATACTCGGCAGCACTTGTGTATGTACAAGACTTGCTTAGCTTTGTTTAGTAGTCGAAGACATTGTGCTTAGTTGCAACCGCTTTGTATAACAGGGTGCTGAACTCCTATGGAAGCGAAAGTACAGTTATAGCATCGACATTTTCTTTGCAAAACAGGACCTTGAGGATGGGCCACTTTGATTCCCAATTGTTGCATCCCATAGTTTGGAATTAGAAAGATGGCACCATGGGCCTTGGTGCTGAGGGCAATCAGCAAGACCCTTTAAGGGCTGAAAGCGCCTCGCTCCTTTTAGGCAAAGGTAAGTCGCAAGAAAAGGAAAGATATGAAGTTCGGAACGTATTTCCTAGGCTGGGCGACAGGTGCGAATCCCATCCCATTATGTGACCCGATGCAGGGAAGTAAGCCCAGCAGAGATGGACAAAGGTGTGAAGCTTCAAGGATTCCATCTACCTTTGCAGAGCGGAAAACAGCTCTTGTACCCCCAGTGGGCGTTTCTGTATCTGGTATTCATTTGCCCAGACATGATGAATGAAAGCCCATCCATCGTGCTGACGATGTTGGGAGACAACATTAAAAAGTACGTGTGTGTGTGTGGGGGGGTGGGGGTGGGGGGGGGGAGGGGGCCGGCAGTAGAGCAGTGCTTTTGTGCTGTGTACCCCGGGTGGCACTAGCGTTAACTGGCAGTCGTACATGGTTGGTACTACTATGGCACATTCCATGTGCTGCCGTATACTATGTACAGAATATCCACCATGCTGCATTAGTATGTGCTGACACTTGTTCGCTCCCCATTTGTTCTTACCTTCTCAGCCCTGCTGTTGGCATTGTTTACTGACGATGGTATCCCACTGCAGGTCTGGAGGGAATTGAAGGCCCACTCTACGGCAGGCCCCAAGGTCGCTGCACAGGAGCAGCTTCCCAGGGGAAAGAGCCTGACACTGGCGCAGATCGCCGCTGTGATGGCCATGGGGAGGTCTGGAATGACGGCGACAGAATGGAGCCGGCTTTGGCAAGAGGAAAGTGGACAGTCAGGGATCACAGAGCATGTTTTTTGAAAAGAAGCACGTCCTCCCCCAGCGCTGGGAGCACGCCTATGGCAGATCGCTGCTGTGATGGCCATGGGTAGGTCTGGAATGATGGTGACAGAACGAAGCCGATTGTCGCAAGAGGAAAGCAGGCAGCCAAGTACCGGAGAGCATGTTTTCTGAAAAGAGGCATGTCCTTCCGCAGCGCTGGGAGCACGCCTATGGAATTGCAGTCGGAACATAAGCAGAAGAAAACTGAAAGGGGATCTGAAATCTGAAGGGTGTTGACCTTGGGGGCGATGGGAGGGGCTTGTACAAGATCCAGAAGAGGGGCTGGGGCGTTAGATCAGCGGATCGAGTTTCACAGCTGGTGATTGCTTCGCCAGAGAACTTGGCCGACGGAGTTAAAGAATTGGACGGCTGAGCAGGTTGTATTGCAGTTTCCCTGCGTTGTTGTTGCCATCAGAGCCTCGGCATGTTTTCCTTGGCTGTGCATCGTGGCCACGAACCACACATCAGAGGGGATTCAACTTGGGTATTGGAGCTGCAAAATGGTCCCAATTGGCTTACGCCCTCGATCCCGGACGTCCATCAGTCCAACGCTTTCACGCTCCCATGCAGGCCCCTACTCCCCATCCCTGGCCTCCATTGGTCGCTAATGACGCTAAGATCCAATTTATTTCCCGAACACCCCTTCTTCCTTGGCCCAGGCAACCATATTGCGCAACCACCATCGTCACCTGTGCGTAGCTCGTGTTTTACTCAGGACAGCAGACAAACATAAATGGCAGTAGCAGACACCTTCTGTCAATACTTTCCCGTGAGCACTACCACGATGATCATCGTGGCTTCATGAAGCGACATGGCTGCGAGCAGGAACCGTGAGTGCTGTTCTCCCCATTATCAATCCTTCAAAGGCACCCTCGCCATGAACATGTGCCCACTTAAAGACGAGTCATGCACAGACATCGCCTCTAAGTGCATTCTCCTGTCAACACTGCTTTGGACCGTCTGGTCCAGTGTTCCCATGTGTGTTGTTGACTAGATATCCAGTATGTTGATTGTACTATGCTGATCGATCAGCATAGCTCAGTGCAACCCAATTGATATGTGCAGAGTCGATGAGGAAAATATTCGAAATGTCAATCGTCATTGAGGAGTCAAGCCCCCATGGTCCCTTGGAATCATGACAACGTTCTATTTCTCTCACTCCCTTTCGTCCACCGGCTGGAAGCCAGAAGAGGGGGAGGTGGATGCAAACCTAAATATTCGAATACAACGGAAACATTCACATTGGATTTGAAGTACTTCCATCCGTGTATATCACACAGTGCAAAGGTGCCACACAATTTGGGGTCATCCAACACTGTCCAAATACAGACTCAAAAGGTAGCTTCATGCAAGTGGTGCACCCACATCAGCGACCAGCAACAAGTCAGGAGTGTCCATTCGCTATCCAGAGCGCACGGGGGTCACGCACAGACATGGCTCCCCTTGCGCTGGCAGGAAATTTCCTTTCGTTTCAAAACGCCCTGCTGGCGATGACAACCGCGATGCCAATTTTGCAGTGCTCAGGTAGCACGGTGATTGCGACGGCACAGACCAGTGTCGCAAAGGCACCGGGTTGGCACGCCCACATGGTGCCCTCCCGTGGCCGGATCAGAATTGGTCCTTCTCCATGCGCTCAATCCGCTCACATCCATACGCATCGCTGCCCGCCGGCTTCGGCCCCAGCCGTCCCGAACCATCCCGCCAACTTCATTCGCCCCCCACCCACCCAAAGCCAAGAACCCCCTCCCCTTCCCCACCCACACCCTCCCCGACCCCATAACAAGCCACGACAAGCCGCAACAAGCCATAGCAAGCCGATCTTGCCCACACCCCAAAAACACAGCAGGCGCCCGACGCCGATTGCCGAGTTTGGCGCCACTGTGCAGAGAGCAAGTAGCTACTCACTTCCAGCTCAGTGACACCGACGCCCAAGGCATTATGTCCCTCCCCGGCGAGTTCGCCGTGGGTTCGCTCCGCCTGCTCGCCCGCGCGCCCGACCGCCTCCCCATGCGCACCGACCTCTGGGCAGCCGACGGCTTCACGCTCCACCCGGTGCTGTCCCCCGAGGAGTGTGCGCACTACATCGCGGACAGCGAGCGGCTGGGCTACGTCTCACTGGAAGCCCTCTACGACAGGGCCCACCGCACCAACGACCGAAGGATCGTCATGTCCCCAGAGCTGGCCGCCATCCTCTGGCAGAGGATCGGCGGATTCTTTCGGCCGTTCCGGGCCGGTCCGCTGGACGAGCAGAACGGCATCCCGCAGGGCACGTACGATCCCATCGGCCTCAACGAGTGCTTTAAATTCCTGCGCTACGAGCCCGGTGGGTTCTTCAAGTCGCACACCGACACGCCGTTCGTGCGCGGAGACGGGCGAGAGCGCAGCCTGCTGACGGTGACGGTGTACCTGAACGGGGATGGGGACTTTGGGGGTGGGGAGACGGAGTTCCTGGGGAGGGGGGGAGGCGTGCGGGAGGCCGTGCGGCCCAGGGCCGGCGCCGCGGCGTGCTTCTACCACTTCGCAGTGCACCAGGGGGCGCCCGTGTCAGGCGGGCGGAAGTACATCTTGAGGACGGACGTCATGTTCCGGCGGCGGGCCTGAATTGGAAGTCTTGCTGCGACGTTTTTTCGGGGCTTCCTGAGGTCGATCTTTCTTGGCAGTTTCTTCGCAGTTTCCTCTCGGATTCCGTCCCACAAAATCCTGCGGCTTCTTGGGAGTTCAGTTGGCCAAAACATTGCATATCGGGGCAAGGATGCGGCTGGGGAGTCCACAACGAGCGGGCGGCTTCCACGCATCGCTTTCTGTTTAGCTGTTGACCGAGGTAGAAGCCGGCCAAGGGCTGCAGGTTGGGGGGACGACAGCGGGGTGTGGATAGCCAGTGCAATAGGTACAAAAGGGCCAAATAACGCGTGTTCGAACGTGTACAAAGTTTGCGGGTTTGGGTAAGTTTCGTAGTTTTTTTGTATATATGTGTGTTTGCAAAAAGTGTGACTTGTTCCTTTTTTTGCTGGTGGTGGTTCTGGTTCTGGTTTCATGGCTGCTCTTTTCTTCTCAATTTCCAGGGTTGCATACGTAGGCCGCTCGTTTCGTTCATGGCATCTTTCCTGGTGGATTTGGGTTTGCGGCGATGGTCACATCATTGTGGTACTAAGTTCCGTTTTGTTGGGTATTCCAAGAAAGTTGTGTTACGGTGGACTGTGGTGCACAGAGAAGCGGAACCCTGGATAGAAAATCCTTCTTCCCATTTGTTGTCCCCCGCGATGGTTGGGTTGCAGACTCTGAGCAGGTTGGCTCCCGCACATGTACCTGTGCTTGTTTGCGTACAAATGTAACGAAACTGAAGTTTATTGATTTCCGAACAGCCTCACCCTTTCGTGGTTTTCTCTTCCTCAAATGTTCTGTTCTGTACTTTCTTCCGCATCTTGCGGTTAACCTAGCGCACGTCCGAATCAACTGGCGCGGCGGCGCCTTACTGAACTTTAAAAGATGGCCCTGTGAAATATCTCACACTCATACCATTGTATTGACATCGCATGTCCTATTGTACGGGACAAATCGTCAGCCCTCCAAACACAGAAGACATGGCCCATCTCTCACCCATCCTCAGCACCCACATTCCACATTCGATCGTCGCAGACACCACGCCCCTCATAACCCTCACTTCCCCAAATCCACTCAACCGCTTGAGACGAAAATGCTGCACGCTGCGAGAAGAGCCCTATGAAAGTGGAATCCTGCCTGCCATTAGCTACCATATCTTGACGGGGTGGTTTGAAAGACGTGCGGGTAGGCAGTCCAAACGCTTCTCTTCACATGCGCGCCAGACGGTGTGCCTTGCCGTCATATCGCTGTCGAAGATTTCTTCACATCATCTGCCACAGCGCAGAACAGATCATCGCACCATCCAACGCCTGTTAAGTGGTCGTTCAATTTTGAAAGGTCTGCTGTCCTTTTAAAGCAAAAAGTACCGTGCCACCAAAGGTGAAGCCTCGCAGTCTAACCACGCAGCTTTTGCACAATTGCTGAATTTGCGGACACTGCCGAGGAGCAAGGGTCACGCGCTGCTGTTTCTGGCCGCCCAACTGCTTCGGCGATGCCATCGTGCTGACCCCCAATTGGAGCAGAAATGCATTTGAATACATGCAATTCAACGACAGACAACTACAAACGCAAATCCACTATTCGCACAAGCATGCGCGTGTTTCGCCTCAACAGGCCCAATGGCACCACCGCACATGTACATGGCTGATCCACACCGCTGGTCTCATTCGGCGCGTCTTGGAATGGCACGGGTTTACGCCCTCACAGTTCAGGTCAATTCGGCTTAGGAATGAATCAACACGGGTAGACGCTGTGCGAAATGGGCAAAGTTGTTACCGGTGCAGGACAGCGCATCAGCAATAGCAAGGCGGATCCGTCTGAAGAGCTGTCAGTCCGTCCTGCCAGTCCTGCATGGTGATTCCGATGGTGGCGTCGACGTGGTGGTACTTGTATCCGGATTCGACGATGCCCACCCTGTTGCCAATGCTGCAGACGCAAAACACAATCCACAATCAGCAGGACAGGACGCCATACACCCTTGCAAAAAAAGAAAGCGCTAAATCTGCGACTTGTCTGTCGGACTACGCAGGTCAACCGATCCATGCCGTAACGTTAACCCTTCTGCATTTGCAACATGACTCCGAGCCGTCTTGTGCGAAGCAATTTAACAAAATGTATCTGTCTCCAAGAAGAATCCGGAACTGCGCAAATGCGTCGCCCCCGCTATCTCCAAACGCGGCCAGATTTGCAGCTGCCAGCGAGGGCATTTGAGCATGGACCTCACATTCTGGAAATGCAGGGTGACCTGCTTTGCTTTCATGCGTTGGTTCCGCGCTTTGCTTGGAAGCAATCCATGGGAGCAAAGCAAGCCGCGTTGCAAATACGCCAACGGCCTTGCCAATTGCTTGCTTGTGCTCGCCGCACCACAAGAACACGATGGCCGATTTTTCCCATTGCGACCACGCAGCCACTGACCGCCAGATCGGCGACATCATGGACGGCCTCCATTGGCTGCTCATCGGAAGTTCAATTGGGGCTGCCATGATAACTGCCCTTTCTGTGGAGGTCTATCCAATTTCGCAGCAAGTTTGACCTTGTTCGGATGGCATTGGCATGCACAGCTCTGGCATGGCCCCTCCCAATGTTTTGCAAATTCAATAAATGTGGAGCTTCAGATTCAGTCGCCCTCTCTTTGAAGCGAGTCCTTATGCTGTGAAGAAGCTGCGGGTGTCATTACAAGGTGATCACCTGTCATCGAAGACGATGGTGCAGAATTTGTCGCCGTCGAAGTACTCAACGATTTTGTCCGTCTGCCAGTGTTTCTCATGCACACAGAACTGTGCAGCCGTTGATTCCAGGAACTCTTCTGTGTAGGTCGTGTTATCGATCACCTCGTTCAAGTACCTGCACCAGACATTGCCGTACGAATCGAGTTGAACATGACCTGAATTGAGGGAATGTGTCTGAACACCACTAGTCTATGTGGCGCTGGAATATGTTTGTGTTTCGAGTGGGTCAGTTTCATGGAACTGTTGCATCAGGACAAGGTAACACATGCTGAACCTGGATCTGGCTGTTTGCACACACCAAAATTCTATCCAATAGGTGGCACATGTGAACTCCATCATGCAGTAGGCCTCGCAACATCAGCTGGCATAACTGGTGTCGCTATGGTCATAGCATGTTCTTGTGAAATGGTACAACTGTTCTCAGTGCAGCAGCAACGCCATTTGATGAGACCAAAAGAACAAATCTGCTGAGTGGTGCAAGGAGAACAAGACAGTGGCTTCCTGGGCATGCACACTTTCACCAATCGATTATGGTTCGCAGAAGAAGGGAGCTCCACAGAATGCAACGGGGCGTAGCATACATGCACAGTTTCTTTACGGATCTCTCTGCAGAAAACTGCCAGTTGGAGCTGAAGGATTGGCGACAATGTAATTGACACAGTTGAAAATGCGTAATTCCGTCACAAAAGCATCTGCCAACTAATTCCAAAAATGCAGTTGTCAAACGCGTTCTGATGTTGCCACATCAAGAAACCAACTTCGACACAAAGTTGTGTGATTTGTTTTCAGGAACCGCTCAGCTGTTGAATCTCCATTACCCCTTGATCCACTCAGTCTCGCAGGACGCGGTGGCCAGACCATACGATACGTTGGCCTCCTTGATGAGAGGCAGAATGGTCTTGATGTCATTGGAGTATTCGCTCTCTAAGACAGCACACATATCTTTATTGCAATTACCACTTCTAGGATCTTGTTCGAGTGCACCACAAACAGTAAAATGGGTATTCATCAACTGCTAGACTGGACGACCAGGAATGGTCATTCATGTGGTAATCATTCACAAGTGCGACAGTGGTTCAGTGCTGCAGGATCCTTCAAACCCTGCTTCCCAGGGACTTGTTATACGCAACTGCATCACATGAGCTAAGTGCCAAAAGAGTGGCAGACATTACCATGTGTTGTTCAACACAAAGGAAATGACTACAGGGATTGCTTTTTCTGGAGAATTTGATGTAGGAGCATCAATTCTGGCATGCAACATGTACCACAACGAACAAGATATTCTGTTCTGTACCATCGTCGAATTCGCACAAGCACCGTATTGAAGCTATCAACTTCTGACCTCTCACCTCCAATTTTAATCACCCCATCGAAGTCTGTAACGACGACGCATTTGCCTGTCGCACACACAGTAGCCTCAAGAATGAAGTTAGACGACCACATTTCCATGTCAGTTTGGCTGCAATCCTCAGCTTCATATACTTCAATTGCTATCTTGATTCAAACTATGATATAAAGTTTGGCAGAATTCTGCAACCTTCCAGCGCAACGCAGCAGCTTGTTTTGCTGGCTCAACAAGGGATGGCTTGAAAACAACCATACCACAGATTTTCCCAAAACCTCAAGTTGAAATATAGCCTTTTCAACATTACAATATGCGTTTCAGCAGACAAATGGGGTTTGGCTGTAGCTTTGCATCCTCTGAGGCCCACAGCGATTGCATCAGTCTTGGTGTTGAATACACAGCTTATCTCAATCCTTCACAATTTCCTCTCTTAAAGCTTCGGCTCTGGCAGCATTTCAAGCAGCATAGGACCCCATCTGTAATATGGTGATGTTGTATCATTGCAATATTGCATTAGTTAATGCGCGCTGGCCACCAGCAAAAGGCGAATAGATTCTTCTACATTGAGTTCTAGATTTTCTGCTGTGCTGGGACAACGGACAGCTCAAATTCCGAAAGCAAGGGCGCCTCCTGGACACTTCAAGTGCCATGCCGATCGCAGGTCATCGGGTCACTTTGGTAGCATGGAGCATCGGTACAGCAGCACATCCAAAGTTGCGCGAAGTGGATGTACCGAATGGCTTGAAATTCAGGAACGGCTTCGGCACCCGGCTGTGCTCCACTGGGACGTCGCACGAGAGTTGCATATAGAAATGGACACCATATTCTAAGCACAGTCATAAAGAATGTCGCGATCGTAATTAGTTCACCATCCCCTGATAATGGCGTCATTGCGATTGCATCGGTTGCCGATCGCTCTCATGGAAAGCCCCATCCAGCCATCCCCATGGACATCCATGCGGATGCCCGCCGATTCAGAGATTCCACGGCGCAGCCAGCGACTCGAGGCGCGCTCAATTCTGCGCCACATCGCCTCCAGATATTGCGAGGAATTGCGCCACAGGAGCCCCCACCCCACCCCCAGCCCCTGTCCGAATCCTGCCACGCAGCCCCGCCCCAACCACGTGGCAAGGTCGAATTGCACGCCCCTCGGCGTGCAACATGGAGCGCGTCGCCTTGCAACGGAAGAGGCCTCCTCTTCCCACCACAATCTGCCATGGTCTGTACACTGCAATCCCGCATCCCCGCCGCCGCGCGCCTTGGCTGCCGCCATCCAATTCTCCGACTCAGATTCGGCGCGCGAAATCGCGGACCGTTTGCTCCGCCCACCAAACGAGAGCCCGGCCCATCGACACTCGCTCAACCGCAATCGAAATTTCTGCACAACGCCACCCCACGGATCCCTTCATCGAAATCCGCGCCTCCCCGCGCCACTACCGGCCAACCCCTCGATCCCTTGTGTGTGTTATACCGCAGCCCTCGCCGCTCCTCACCTAGCTCCGCGCGGGCGCCTCCCGCCGCGAGGGCCACCACCAGACCGAGGGCCAGGCACACGGCGGTGGTCCTCATGGCGCGGTCTGCTGCTCCTGGGGCTGGGCGTGAGCACCTGGCCGTGGGTGTCGACCAACTGCGACCGGTCGACAAAACTGCCGCGTGCCCACCATCAGCGCATTGTACCACCGGGGTCACATCGCGCCAGCGATGTTGGGTTCAGGTGCGAGTGATCGGTCCCGTCAACGTGAATCCCTCAGGGTGGTTGTGACAAGACAATGCGAAGTACGTCCGTGCGCCAGCGCCGCGCTTATGTGCTGGAGGCGAACCTACTATCGGCAGTGTGGCGATGCCTCTTCTCGACTTCCGAGCGAAATCTTCAGTTTTTCACTTGTCGCTGCCCGCGAAGAGGAGCGAGGTTCTTGCCGACTGCTGTACTGGGCACGGCGCCGCGCCCAACGAGGTCTGGAGACCACTGACTCGGCTTGACACACATCGGCGTGCTTGGTTTCAATAAACGAAAGAGTAGTATACCGCTCTTTCGTGCGACTATCGTACTTGTCCGATACTGATACCCGGAAGGTCCCCTTCCGTTGGTCTAAACCGCGTTGGCAACAACGAACCGGCGATCCCGCCCGCTTCCAACTCTCGTTGGGACTCGTAGATTCTTCTTGATGGTGGGTGGCCAGTTGCACCATGATCCGGTTAGCCAACGTCGCGCGTTGAAGAGCGCCCTTTCTTGCACGCGCGTGCGACCCTCAAAGCGCAGCACGGCGACAGTCATGTCGGCCCATCACTAGGAAAAAAAGGGCCAAATAACACGTGTTCAAACGTGTACGAAGTTTACGGGTTTGTGTTATTTTTGTGTTCTTGGCGTGTAAAACTATGATAAAATGTGTTTT